CTCCAGAATTGGGTCAGGAGAGAGAATTTTGGGATTTTTTAAGAAATTTGAAACCTCCTCGATTTCCTGTTATTTCCCCGCTCTAAGCAAAAGGGGATAAAGAGAAATTTTTTTGGGATAAATTAAAACCTGAAATGAACTTTTAAAATCCGGGTGAGGAGAGAAATTCTTAAAATGATGTGGGATTGACCCAATTGGGATTTTTTTGGGAAAAATTGGGAATTCTCCAATCTGGGATTTGTTATTTTCCATTGTTTTCAATCGCAGGATGAGCTGGGGTTTAATCATTTTGAAAATTGAGGAATTTTGGAAATCTCTGGGAAATCTCCGGAATTGGAATCTCTGGGAAAGCTGAGGGGGTTGAGGTGGGAATTGCGGGATCCCCCTGGAATTTCGGGGATCCATCACCCGAGGCTTGGAATCACCTCGGACTCTTTTAAAAAAACAAATAAATGAGGATTTAATTTATTTATTAATTTTAATTTTATTTATTAATTAATTTATTTATTTATCATTTTATTTATTTATTTATTTATTTATTTTACTTATTTCATTTATTTATTTTATTAATTTTATTTATTTCTTCTATTTTTTTCCTTTAATTATTTATTTATTTATTTCATTTGCTTCATTTATTTCATTGATTTTATTTATTTCATTTTTATTTATTTATTTATTTAATTCATTTATTTCACCCCGGACGACCGCGATAACTCCCGCCGTTCGCCGGGACCGAAAAAAATTAAGAAAAAAAGAAAAAGAAAGAAAAAAAAAGAAAGAAAAAAAAAGAAAGAAAAAAAAGAAAGAAAGAAAGAAAACAAAAAAAGAAAGAAAAAAAGGAAAAAAGGAAAAAAAATAAAAGAAAAAGAAAGAAAAGAAAAAAAAAACCCGAAAATTAAAAAAAAAAGGAAAAATAATTCAAAATCCCCATTCCCACTGGTCCTTTTTTGGGAAGGCCGCCTCTCCCCGCTGCGGGAGGAGCGCTGATCTCACCGGGGGCGGCTCCGGGCGGGGTTTGTGCCCAAATTCCACTGAAATCGGGAGGAAGCGGCGGCTCCGCTCACATTTCCCTGCAGCGGGAACGCTTTTCCATCTCCGGGAGGAAAATTCGGATCAGGAAAAAACGGAGCTTCCCAACATCATTAATTGAGGTAAATTCTCATTTTTTGSGGGGTTTTATGCGCCAAAAATATTAAAAAAATAATTAAAAAAAGAGCGGGGTTGATTAATGAATTTTAACACTTTTTTCTCGCGGTTCAAAGTTTCATTTCTCTGCCTCTCTCGGTTCTTTCTCCCGTTGTGATGTTGAGATGTAAAAATCTGAAGGGGATGAAAAAAAATTAATTTTTTCCCCCAATTCCCGTCCCCCGAGAGGGGATTTGGGATTTGGCGCGGCTGCGATTTCCACTCACACTTTTTTTTTCAAGAGGTCGTGGCCGAGCTGAAAATTTTTCTCTCTCCTTCCCCTCGCAGGAAAAAAAAAAAAAAAAAGGAGATTTTTTCCAAAAACTGCGATTTTACCCAAAATATTTTGATTTTCCAGTAGAAAACTCCGGCGTTGTGTAAACGTTCCCCGGGTGAATTTATCCTCTCTTGGATAAATCCCGGGGTTTTTTTAATTAATTAATTAATTTTTTTTTTCACAGGGAAAAACTCCAGGGCAGATGTTTGGCAGAAAATGCCAAAACATTTCCCGAATTAAAGGATTTTTTTTTTTTTTTTTT